TGCCTTTAATCTTTTTTCATATTGTAGCCAAAGTGATTTATTTTTGAAACACAGTCAAATCAGGTCATTTCCTTGCTTAAAACTATAAGTGGCTTCCCATTGTACTTAGAACAAAACCATCTTTCTTACAATGGCCTGCAATGCTTTATGTGCCATGACCCCTGGCTAACCTTGACTTTATCTCCTGCTCCTTACCTGCTTGCTCATGACACTCCTTTCAACTAGGGAGCTTTTGTGCTAGCTGTTCTCTCTATGCACAATGCTTTCCCCAGGATCACTGTATGGCTGGGTGTTCTGAAACAGAAAAATGTCGCCTCCATGCAGTCTGTTTCTGACCACCCCAAATGAAGTAGAAGTTCCCTCTTTCTCCACATTTATCACATTCATCCTGTTAACCTGGTTGTTGTCAGTCACCCTTCTCTTAAAACTAAGTTCCATAAGGGCAGGGATCTTGATTTTGTTAAGGAAAAAATTATTAAAATGGTAAGGAACACATTTTATTCACAACTGTTGCAGTAGGGTTATTGCAATATGGAAGAGAGATTGAAGTCAACCAGAACAAGTGGGATTTATAGCCAACCCACAGAGTGATAGGTCAGTAAATGGAAAATTACTAAGAACAGACATCAAGGGTAGGAGAATTCTTGCTAAACTGACTTACCAGGTTTCTTATTAAAGGCACACCAAGGACATCAAAGCTGGGCGATGAGGAGCCTATTCAGATATCAAGGGTTGGGGACAGGATGGGGACCAAGGTTGAGGCCTGGTCAAGAACAGAGCTCAGAGGAACCTGACTGAAGTTTGGTCAAGGGGAGAGTCTTTGTGAACTTCTTGTTCTATTTTGTAACCCTATATGATACTTTCTAATAGTAATACAGTATGTTGTGTATTAGATAGTATTACCTATATAATATTATTATTTTTTAAGAATTTTACCATGTTTTATATACCCTGTAAGATTAAGTAAGTGGGGGCAGGGTGAGGGTTCTGACAATCATATAGAACTTTTGATGGTTAAACATCCCTTTCAAACCCCAACCAGATTCCATGCAGAAGATTCCTGACATACATTTTGTTCTTTATTTCTTTAGTAACCAGCACTACTATTCTGTTAACCGAGGTCCATTCTTCTCCTCCCCAAGCCTGGCAGTGGAATAGACTACAGTGCTCAACTCTCCCCTTGCTGTTCTTTTTTTAAGTATTTTTTTAAAGTTTTTTTTAAGTATATTTTATTAATTATGCTATTACAGTTTTCCCAATTTTTCCCCTTTATTCCCCCTCCACCCTGCATCCCCCAACCCTCCAGCATTCCCCCACCCTTAGTTCATGTCCATGGGTTGTACATATAAGTTCCTTGAATTCTCTGTTTCCTATACCATTTTGACCTCTCCCCATCTACTTTATGCCTACCAATTATGCTTCTTCTTCCCTGTACCTATTTCCCCTTATTCCTCCCCTCCCACTCCCCACTGAAAACCCTCCATGCGATGTCCATTTCCCTGATTCTGTTCCTGTTCTAGTTGTTTGCTTAGTTTTTGTTTTCATTGTTTTTCTTTTTTTTTCTTTAGGCTCATTTGTTGATAGTTGTGAGTTTGTTGTTATTTTACTGTTCATAGTTTTTTATCTTCTTCAATTTCTTAGAAAAGTGCCTTTAACATTTCATATAATAAGGGCTTGGTGATAATGAACTCCTTTAACTTGGCCTTATCTGGGAAGCACTTTTCCTGCCCTTCCATTCTAAATGATAGCTTTGCTGCATAGAGTAATCCTGGATGTAGGTCCTTGCCTGTCATGACTTCAAATACTTCTTTCCAGGCTCTTTTTGCCTGTAAGATTTCTTCTGAGAAATCAGCTGATAGTCTTATGGGCACTCCTTTGTAGGTAACTTTCTCCTTTCCTTTTGCTGCTTTTAGGATTCTCCCTTTATCTTTAATCTTGGGTAACTTAATGATGATGTGCCTTGGTGTATTCCTCTTTGGGTCCAACTTCTTTAGACTCTCTGGGCTTCCTGGACTTCCTGGAAGTCTATTTCCTTCACCAGACTAGAGAAGTCTTCCTTCATTATTAGTTCAAATAAGTTTTCAATTTCTTGCTGTTGTTCTTCTCCTTCTGGCACCCCTATAATTTGGATATTGGAACATTTAAAGTTGTCCCAGAGGTTCCTAGGCTTCTCTTCATTTTTTTGAATTCTTGTTTCTTCATTCTGTTCCAGTTGAATGTTTATTTCTTCTTTTTGTTCCAAATCATTGATTTGAGTCCTGGTTTCTTTCCTGTCACTGTTGGTTCCCTGAATATTTTGCTTTATTTCACTTTGGGTATCTTTCATTTGTTCTTTCATTTTTTGACCAAGCTCCATCAGTTCTGTGAGCATTTTGATTACCAGGACTTTAAACTCTCCAGATAGGTTGGCTATCTCCTCATCGCTTAGCTCTCTTTCTGGAGTTTTACTCTGTTCTTTCATTCGAGCCCTATTTCTTTGTCTCAACACACCTGTTAAGTTGTAATGCAGTGGGGGCTTAGGTGTTCACCAGAGCAGGGCAACCCTCCTTGCTGCACTGCAGTGCTGCCTGTGGGGCAGTGGGGGGAACCTGAAAAGAGGGAACAACATAGCTTACCTGCTCAGCTCTAGCCCCACTTTCCAATGAACTCTCATGTGAGACTGGGAATTTCTCTCACCAGCAACTGCTGTAGTCCACAGTCAGCTGAGTCTCAGTTTCCTGTTCAGCCAATCCCACCCTCATGGTCCAGTCTGCCACCTTGCCACAGGTTCTCTCCATCTACCTGTCATACTGGCCTGGTTGGTCTGGTTGACTGTTTCTTTAATTCCTTGGTTGTCATAGTTCCATACAGTTTGATTTTCTGGCACTTCTGGTTGTTTATTGATTTTAGATTGGTTGTTATCCTCCTTTTGGTTGTGCAAGGAAGTGAAGGGTTTCTACCTACACCTCCGTCTTGACCAGAACCTATATAATATTATTTTTAAATATGATAGTACAAATTCAAGACACATGTAAATATATAACATTTCTAGTGGTCACATTAGAAGTAAGAAGCAGCATTAATATGTTTTAATAGCATATTTTATTTAATCCTATATCCAAAATGTTACCATTTCAATATATAATCAACAGAAAAAATATTAATGAGTAATTTACATTCTTTTATTTGTACCAAATATCAAAAAACCGATAGCATTTCATACTCACAGCACATCTCAATTCAGATTAGTCACATTTCAAGGACTTCAAAGCTACACGTCTCCTGTACTGGACAGCAGAAGTCTGAAGGCTAGGAAGCGACGACACACTGGATACAATAAATGTTTATCAACTAAATGGATGAATGAATGAGTGAATTAAGAATAAAGTCTATTCACAGACCTGGCAGTTTTGTTTCTTCAAGTGTTCAGAATACATAGGTGCCAAGTTTTACTCCAGAGGCTTGTATAAATACAGTATATGCTACTTGATTTGGGATGGAATGCATAATTCAAATAAGGAGAGAATATCACATCTCAAATATGATTTCATTTTTCACTCATCCGTATTCTATAAATACTCCAAGGTAATGACAGAACTATGCATTTCATCCACAAAGTTGTTTATGCAACTACAAAAATTTTTGCCACTTAGATGCTGTTTTCATGCATTAATGCTTTTTATTAAAGTGTAAGATTACAATTTTCACATATTCTGTGCAACAAGATTTTAAGTATTCAGTTTTCTTTGTCCCTTTAAATTTGTCATTGGCTTTTATATTGAGTTGGCTATGCACGAAGGCATTTGGCATTGTTTATTTACTATAAAATGTCAGAGCAGTGGTAGTTGGGCCCTTCAGGTAGGAGCAGTGAGGCTTTACTGTGCATTCTGTGGCTTCAGAATACTTCTTTTTTCATTATTGTTCTTCCCTCATGCAATGTGTTACAAGGAAAGATACTTTTACCTATTTACCAAAGGGTCAGGATGTGTCGGTCTAACTCTTTCTATTTACATTGTAAGCACATTTGGCTGTGGAACTGATCTCCTCCAGTGAAATCTGTTGTGGTATTCTTCTTATTTTGTTTTAATTAGTTAATTTAGTTATTTATTTTTAGAGAGTGGGGAAGGGAGGGAGAAAGAGAGGAAGAGAAGCATCGATGTGTCAGAGATATATCAATCGTATGCCTCTGACACACTCCCATTTGGGGACCCAGCCCACAACCCAGGCATATGTCCTGAGTGGGAATCAAACAAGTGACCTTCAGGTTCACAGGCTGGCACTCAGTCCACTGAGCCATTGTAGCCAGGGCTGTTTTTGTATTCTGAAACCTTTCAGTTCTGAGTCAGATCCACCAGATACCCACTAAAACACCCAAAAGTCTAGAAGACACATGAATATATTCATCTGATATGCTATGTCATATATTTCACTTGATAGCTCTATAGATCTAGTTTTAAAAAAAGAGATAGGAATTAGAGAACTAGAACATACTTTAAAACAGATAAGAAATTACATTTTAGCTCCAACTTTGTGATAGCAAAAGAATACACCTTTTATTTCATTCCCTCCCACAGTTAGATTTCTTGATAGAGACAGAAAAATGTTTTTGATTTAAATCTTGGATTTTTGGGGGCAAGCTTTAGAAAAGCCAAATCAATGCTAAATCAGAGGTATTTTCAACATCCACAAATTTAATCCAAAGTGGATACTTAAAAGCTCATATAGGCCTAGATGATGTTCTCCCAGATGGTGAATTAATGTAATTTTAGCAGGAAGCAAAGTTGCACAAATATGCAGTATTGAGGACTCACACTGATTTAATGTATCTGTACCCACCACAGCGCAGATGTTGCTTGTCATTTTACTGCCAGTTGTCTCTATTTTTCTCTGTGCTACACACTGAAGAATGAGATTTCAGAGTTCAGTAAATTATGATTTATTTTGTGACTAATGACTTGTTAGAAATTAAAGCGCTCTGTGCACTGTGTATAGAAATCACATTGGTTTTATTTTTTGTGCAGGGTTTGAAAGGTGACTTGGGTCCCCGTGGTCCACCTGGCCCAAAAGGAGAAAAGGTATCCTATTCACCAAGAAACATGCCAATCTTTCCTTAAGAACACCCTAAGAACCTGTGCAGCAACTTTTCACTGGTACTGTTAACTGCCAAAAGTTAATTTTGTTAAAATTAACCAAAGGCTGTTATGTTAAAAGCATCTGAACAAGAAAAGCCTTTTTGGTTCATTTAATTAGTTTGAAGAGACTAAATGCACAATTGCTAGTCAACATTAGTTTGTGTTTATAAGATTTCCCTTTTCTATCCCTTGCTTAACAGCATTAGGTATTCCATCACCAAATTAGCAACTGTGTCCTGTGTCAGGGCAGTTTGCCAGTAGCACTCAGCTGCTACTTTAATGGTGAAGCAGGTGGCCTTTGGGGAAAAGGAGACTAATTTTGTGTCTCAGTCTTAGTCTAAATGCTCCATTTCCTGCCACCTTTTCTTGTATGACATTTTATAATGGCATATTGGCAATTCACCTTGAAAAGAGAATTAAGAAATAGTAAAGCAAGAGTCGTTTGGCTCAAGGTCATTGGGTGATCTCAATCTGATGAGAATTACATGTGTGGGTGTTCTGCACTATGTTTTGTTCTCCACAACTAGCGCATTTAGAAATGCATGTCTATCTTCAATATTTACCCCTGTATTAAAGCTGATCTTGTAAATCTGTCGTTGGTGAGTGATTTAAGTGATTTAAGTTACATCAGTGTTTCTTAACAATGATTGGCTACTTCTTTTCAGTGTTTCTCCAAATAGTGATTACATAATGCTAAGTCTTAACTTTTCAAGTGACTACATTAGAGGAGAAAAGAGAAAGGAATGGAGATACTCTCAACATGAGCATACAAGGTCCCAGTGCCCCATGTCACAGAGCATATGGTCACCACAGTGCCCACTTCAACAAGGATCCTAGCAGTGATGCTTGGTTTTAATGACTAAATTCTTCTGAATTACATGGGGGTGCTGGTGCAATAAGGCATATAGGTAATATATTTATAAATCAGAAAATAGTAAGATTTTAGATGAACTATGCTCTAAAGATTTTGAATAGTTTATCAAAACATCCATCTGGTAATTTGTATTCACATACATCAGCAAAGAAATTTTAGTATTTAAAAATACAAAATTTAGGCAAATCCTCTTTCCATTGATGGCAAGTGCAATGCAAATTCAGCAGAGCATTCGAAGAGGCAACGAGACCACTTCTTGCAGCTGGGAAGCATGAAGTGGGGACATCCACTTACTATTTCTGCTGATCCTCATACTAACTTTGTCAGAAAAATTATTTGTCGCTGTGACACTTCCCAGCTGCTCCATTGGCAAGTAATCGTATTCAAAGAGATAGTCTTTCTAATTTTGGATCAGTAGACAAAAGAATAGAAATTAGATTATTTTAGCTTTTCAAAGCAAACTCTACAAAAAAGCATGGGGGTGCACAAGGTGATATTTATATCATGAGAGCTAAAAGCACATGATATACTTTTCATTGTGCAGAGAATTTTATCAAGATAACCTTCTGTTCTTCAGGATATATCTAGATACTTCTTCTGTCCATTCAGAAAAGTTATAAATATCATGTGTAAAGAGAGACTATTGGTAATTGCAACTTTTCTCTGATATGTTTTAGGGAGATGCAGGACCTCCAGGAGCCCCAGCCTTAACCGTAAGTGTTCTCGAGACCAAAATTCCAGATTGAGATATGTTATCCTATTTACTGTTTACACTGTGTCAGAACTAAACCAGAACTTAAGCTATGGGGTGTTTTGAGGCTTGATAATGACCTCAGGGTGGATCTAGCCAAACCTGCAAATATTGAAGGTAAGGCATAACCTGAGGATACATAGGTAGTTACCAGAGAAGTCTGGAAGCAGTACCTGTCCTGAGGAATTTTCTCTACCTTCCATATGATACATAATTTTGACCCTTGTTTGATTATATATACTTAACATTTAAAGTTAAAGTTAATGGAAGCAGAGACAGTCCTCTTTAATCTAAAAACTGTAAAAGAACAAAAAAACCCCATAATCATCAAGTGCTAAAGACAGCTACCTATTTAAATGGATGGTTACATTCCTCCAAGCCTGTCCAAGGCTATTGTTTTCTTCCAGATGATTTGCTCCTAAGCTTTGCAAATGATAAAATGGTGCTTTTTAATAACAGATTTATGAGAAAAACGTATAATGAGCACATAATGGGATTATTCTTATTTAAATAGTTCATCATTTATTAAGCATTTAATCATAAATGTGTAATGCTTTTATGTTTAGATACAATTTACTGTTATAGATTTTGTTCATAGGCCATTAAGGATTCTCATTTAACTTAAAGATTTGGTTTAAGAATGACTCTAGCCTAATAAAAAAGAAGTAAGTTTTTAAAATAAGGTCATTTGTAGCCTGAGGTCTCTGAGATTTAATGTTGGTATTACCTAATGACATAAATTATACATTGAAATCATCAGTTTTCAGAGACCTGTCCTGATTCTAGAAGGTCTTTAAAGAAGTCTTCTAACACTGGACAGGGCCTTTCCCAACAGTGCAGCACCAGAATCTCAAAGACTGCATGGCTTGGACAATGTTTACATGTATCTTCATGTTTAAAATATGTCCTTCTGAGCAATACCTCAGTAATGTCTTACACAACTCATCTTTACCATGCTTAATTAAAGGACATAGATTTATTGATAAATGGAAATTATAAAGAACCGAACAGATGACTTACTTAGGAATAACCAAATTCAATTGCAATGGAATTCTGTGCTTGAAGATTTGTTTTCAAGATGAAAACAAAAACTCATTATTTAGAGGAGGTTTTAACTGCATGCTATTTAATTTTTATACTATGTGGAGTTTATTTTTAAAATTATTTGGCAATGGTTTGGGGTTAAACCTGCTCATTTTACTTAAGTCACACACTTGTTTTTCTTCAACTAAGTTACATGCTCAACCACTTCATTTAGTTATCTGATTTCCTAGTTGCTTTCAACTTGTGTTTGAAGATGAAAATGCAAAATATGTGTATCATTTCACCTGATATACAATGTTGGCCCTGCAGCCGGAAAATTGTATCAGATTGTATCTGTTTTATGGATTTTTCACGACAGCTGAGTCCTCTTGCCAAGTAGCACCCTATACATGTCTGCACTTTTCAGCTGACAGATACTGAGGCAGTACAAGCTGGTTTTTATTCTTCTCTAAAGCTATATCAAGGCAAAAAAAAACAAACCCAACAATGAAATGAAATGTTTCATTTCACAAGGTAAAATATTAATGTTATTTGGGTATGATTATATACTTGTCCATTATTTTATTAATGTAGATAATCAGCTGTTAACTGTGAAATAGGGATGAACTTAAAATCAAATTACCACACATTAAATATATAACTGACCTTATAAATGCAGATTGATACATTTTAATGAAGTTATTGATACCAGTCTTCAAGGAAGCCAAAAGAACTGACCTGACTATATTTGAAATCAATGAGACACCAATATATAGGAGTCAATAAACTTAGAGTTCATCCACAGTGGTTCTCAAAGCTGGCTGCACACTGAACTCCAATGGAGAGCTTTAAAACGTACCAACGTGTGTCTCCACACCCAGAAATTATACTTCAGTAGACATGATGTGGAACCAGTATATTTAAAAAGCTCTCCAGGTACTTCCAAATATGCAGCTGGATTGAAAGGCACTGTTTATGGGCACTCTAATGGAACAGCTTCTTTCCTACTTGGAAAACACCTTTAGCTTTTTGAAGAAGTCTGGCTTTCATCTCAAATTCAACTTAATGTACGGTAATAAAGAAATATCTTTCCATTAGGGAGGTATTGTAGTAAAACTAAATTAAGATTGAAGCTGACATGGTTAAATGGAGGAGATTAGGGCTAGGAAGGTACCTTTAATTATACCCTTAACCTAGCCATTCAAGGACTCCTGTGGGCTCAGGTGCCTTAATGCATCTCAAAATTTAGTGCGCATAGAAACCTTCAGGGGCCTTGTTCAAACGCATATTTTATTCTGTAAGTCTGAGGTGGGAGCCTGAGAGTCTACATTTGTAGCTCGAGGATGCAGATGCTAGTGGTCCTCAGGCCACACTTTGAGTCACAGGGGCTGAGCATCCAGCCCCAGTTGTGCTGTAGACTCTCCACTTCATTCCACAGATCAGTGCTTCTCCACCTGTACCGCACATTAGAATCACTTGAGGGTTTCAAAATCTCCAATCCCCAGGCTGAACCCTATGCTAGAAAGTCAGAATCTCTGGTCGTTTTAAATTTTTCCCAAACACTTCCAATGTGCAGCCAAGTATGAGAACTAATGCTCTGAAAGTGTGTCAAATACTCCTCTCCATAGCTTCTTCTTTCAGAGTCTGAGCAAACATTTTAAAATCCCAGCCCAATTACTTTCAGAAGCACTTCCAGGAAATGCAGACTCTCTATTAATACCTATGATTTGGTTCCTGATTACTTGATTATAGAGGATGACCTTCCATCTCCACGTTTACAGCTCACTGGGAGTCCATCATTAGTCAGGTCCTGAGCAGGACATGGCTGGCAAGTCCAGAGCATAGAGTTCTAGAGACTAAGTCTACAGACCTGTACTGCCCTGAATAAAGAAGGGAAGAAAGTTGAATATTTTTTTACCTCTAAAACATACATACTATATTTATTTTACTTTTATTTGTATTTTGCTTAATAAGAAATTGAAAGAAGTAGTAATCAAACACTCTGAAATGTTGAGTTTACTGATGCAGAGCAATCTATTTGATACAGAACATCTTTATGAAGGATTGTGTTTATCGCTGATATGTTCATGTCCCTGTGAATTACCATGCTTTGGCTATTATTTTAAATTAAAAAAAATCATGTAACACCATTTCATTTCAAAAATCCTATATCTAAAACTATCCATGTATTTTAATTAAATGTTACTTTGCTTTTTATTTATACTTCTTATAACTGACTGTATATAATTGGGTCATAGTGGAGAAGATGGATAAAAGAGTAAGAGAAGTCAAGTGTAGAAGGAATAAGAAAAGGTGAGAAAATGGTATATAAAATAGATCAGAGGCCTAGAAATAGTTTTATTAATTGAATTCAACTGCAAAAGCTCTTAATCTTTATTTCACCTTTTCCTTTCCTGTCATCTTGCAGTTTTCTTACTGCCAGTGACCACTACAACCTTTCACTCTCCAAAAATACAGGAAACCTCTTACTGAGAAAACCAACCAAAATGGTGCTGTAGTTTGCAAATGCAGTGGGCACTAAACTCCCTTATTATTTGAAGAAATAAGATCCCTTTTAAAATTCCACAACGGAATCCATTTGATAGCATTTCAATATGGAATGAACTCCAATGTGACTGCTTAAAAAAAAAAACAGCTAAAAGGAAGAAGGAGGAGGAGGAAGATGGGAGAGGAAGAAAGGGAGGGAGGGAGGGAGGGAGGGATGGAGGGAGGGAGGGAGGAAAGGGGGAGGGAGGGAGGTGGGGAGGAAGGGAGACAATCACTTTACTATCTAGAAACAAGAAGACAAGAGATTCAGGTAAAAGGCTGAGTATCTTGCTAGGCATATTTTCAACAAACACAGCTGGTTGAAAATTTTAAAAATCAGATCACTTTGATGTATTTGCAGACTTTTCACTAATAAGTTTAGTTCTAAATTAACTATTGCTTAAACATAGTAAGCTCTTATAATTTCTTTCAATAAGTATAGAATTAATTTTCTGAAGAAGTGATATTTTTAAAACGGATTTAAACTAACCAATTGGTCTTCACCCTTTTTTATATATCAAACTAATAACTGTTTTTTAAAACCAACACAACTTGTTATATCCTAAGTAATAATGATAATAATAATAAAATAATAAATGGAAAACATCTATTGAGTGCTTACTATGTGTTATCTAAACCATTCTTTAAACAACCTTGTAAGATAGAAAGTGATTATTACCACATTGCAGGTGAGGGAATTGAGGACTAGAAAATCTGCATGCCTTGCCAAGAGCTCCAGAGATGATGGTGACAACCTAGTATTCTGATACCTGTTTGACTCTAAAACTTAAGCTTGTGTTTTGAGATATGCATGTAATTTTATTTAAAGAAGTATTCTTCTTCCTATTTCATTTCATTTTTTGAGCTTTATTGAGATATAATTGACATATAACATTGTATAAGTTTAAGATTTACTATGTAGTGAGTTTACACATGTATAGATTGCAAAATTATTACCACAATAATGTTAGTTAACAGCTGTGGGAAGCAGCTGGGAAAATAGCAGCCAGAACTCCCAGAGGGCAGCAAACAACATGGATCCCACTAACCATTTTGCAGATTCCATCTAGAAGGTCACTCAGAAGCTACTGGGGATGTTTCACCTGCAGATCCTCCCCCATGTGGTCCACAGGCATCCCTAAAGCTGTCTGTGCCTCATGCATACACTCCTACCTTTACCCCTGTATGCACCACAGGGCAGTGAGAGAGAGGATTTGCAGAAAAACAAACTTAAAGTTTATGTAGAACCACAAAAGACTCTAAATAGCTAAAGCAATTCTGAGAAAAAACAAAGCTGGAAGCATTATACTTCCTGATTCCTGTATTACAAAGCTATATTAATCAAACCAATATGATATTGTCATAAAAATATAACATAGACCACTGGAGCAG